AAGTTGTTTTGGACTTATAGCAAACCTAGGAGTGGGTCTTCTTGGGAAGTTTACCACCATGGTCTTAAATGATGACCACCTTGTTTGTAGTCTCACTAAGAGAAGGAAACTGGATGATAAGAATAATTAATAATAATAATATATTTTGGTGGAGATGGGAGGTTTTTGTGAGTACCTGAAACTACTATATGTCTTAGGTTTTAAGTTTGTTTATATTCTGCTTATTCTCTCCACAACGGAGACTCAAAGCGGCTTAAATGTAATTTGTACTATTTGGTTATAAGAGGAAAGTGAGGTGATGGTGATAACAGTAGTAGTAATAATAGTAGTAATAATAGCAGTAGCATATTTTAGTGGGAGACTAGATTCTGTAAGAGAAACTGTTATATGTAATAGGTTTTAAGTGGGCTGTAATAATGGTGATGATGATGATAATCACAATTTAGAAATAATTAACAAGTCATGTTTGAGCAGGATGTATTCATAAGAATTCCTCAATGGCGCTCCATGCAGTCATGCTGGCCGCATGACCTTGGAGGTGTCTATGGACAACGCCGGCTCTTCGGCTTAGAAATGGAGTTGAGCACCAACCCCCAGAGTCAGACACAACGACACTTAATGTCAAGGGGAAAACCTTTATCTTTAAGATTTGTTGAAATGAGAGTGTGAATAGTAATAATAATAAATTGAGTCTCATTTTAAGAGGAAAGGAAAGCATAACAATAACAGTTTGCTTGGGTCTCATTTTTAGAGGAAATCAGGGAATAATATAATTTGCATCATTACAGAGGAAAGGTATATATTAATTTGTGGGATAATATAATTTGAGTCTCGTATTAGGAAACAGGGCACAATTATAATAAAATAATTTGTGTGAGCCATTTTAAGAGAGGAAAGCTGATAATAATGATACTTTGAGTCATTCGAGAAGAAAGCAGGGTATAATTTGTGTGTCTCATTTTAAGAGAGAAAAGCAGGGAAATAATCATTTTATTTATTTATTTATATCCCGCTATATCCATATCGACACTGTGGCTCACAATTAAAAACACTACAATATAACTTGAATGTAAAATATACAATAATAAAGCAGTATTATCATTTATTATCAGTATGATAATTAATATATTAGCATTATTACAATATTATATAATATTCATATTGTGTTCCATTACAATATTATTACTTGATGTATATACATCGTATTATTAGCATAGCACAATATTAGTATTATTATATTGTACTATACTATTATACTGCAATATTAGTAATATAATATGGAATCATAGAGTTGGAAGAGACCTCGTCGGCCATCCAGTCTGATCCTGCCAAGAAGCAGGAAAATTGCATTCAAAGCAATCCCAACATATGGCCATCCAGCTTCTGTTTAAAAGACTCCATAGAAGGAGCCTCCACCATATATATAACGGTGGTTCTCAACCTGTGGGTCCCAAGATGTTTTGGCTTTCAACTCCCAGAAATCCTAACAGCTGGTAAACTGGCTGGGATTTCTGGGAGTTGTAGGTCAAAATACCTGGGGACCCACAGGTTGAGAACTACTGATAATATAATATGTAATAATTATAGTACTGTATATTGTTATGTTGCACTATATTATTATACCACAGCACATACAATATACCACCAGTATATTGTACTATTATAATATATTGTATTGTAAAGGTAAAGGTTTCCCCTTGACGTTAAGTGTTTCCGACTCTGGGGGGTGGTGCTCATCTCCATTTCTAAGCTAAAGAGTCGGTGTTGTCCGTAGATGCTTCCAGGGTCACGTGGCCAGCATGACTTCATGGAGCAATGTTACCTTCCCACAGAAGTGGTACCTCACATTTGCATGTTTTCGAACTACTAGGTTGGCAGGAGCTGGGCCTAACAGCGGGAGCTCACCCTGCTCCCTCCGACTTTTCGGTCAGAAAGTTCAGCAGCTCAGCGGTTTAACCTACGGCGTGTGTGTGTGTGTGTGTATGTATACACACACTATATATGTATATATATATATACACACACACACACATACATACATACATACACACACACACATGCCCCTGGTGGCTTAGTATATATACTATATATATACTATGCGCTCTGTCTCTATATTATATTATATATACTATATATATATATACTATGCGACTGTCTCTCTCTCTTGATATATATATATATATTATATTTATACACACACACACATATATAGTTATGTAATATTGTATTATATTATTATACCACAACACATTTGATATACCACCAGTATATTATACTATTAGTATTGTATAATGTATTGTATTATAGCATACGTTTTCTAAATTATATATTATATTACAGTTATTAATATTATCTATAATAGATGAGTATTATTATATTACAAATTATTATAAATTTTTATTATAATCAAGATAATTTAAGTCATATTACAGAGAAAAGTACAGCAAAATAGTCATAATGAAAATTTGTATGAGTCTCATTCTTAAAGAGGAAAGCAGGTGATAATTATAATAATACTAATAAGTTGGCCAGGCTTCCTATGTCGCCTGCCCAATGTCCCCTAATTGCTCCCCAGTTCTTTCCCCCTTTGCTGCCCCTTTCATCAATGCCAAAGGCTTTCCCTATACAAATGAGGGGGATGGCAGTGGGGTCCCCAAAGGTGCCCTCCTTCCCTTGTCTGTGGCTGCCCTAGATACCTCTCCCTATACATCTGTGGGGAGGGGGCTGTGGGCAAAGAGGGCTCAATGGCCCCATTCATTCTGCCCAGCCAGGGAGAAATCTGTGTCACCACAAAGGGGGGCTTCCCTTCGCTCCCATTGTTGCCCATTTGTTTGGTTCAATGGGCCTCCTCTCCTTCGGCTCAGAAAAGGTTGCTCCTTTCCTCATGCAAATGAGATGCAAAAGCCTGGCCAGGAAAAAAAGATGAAAAAGGGTGAGATAATTTATGCAAATTTATTTGCATCCAATTTGAATGTATTTGTCTTCTTCAAAAAGAGTTTTGGATAGCGGTTTGATGGGACTTTGGCGTCCTCTGCTGGCAGTACCTGAGTAGTGCAGGACCTTTTGTAAACCAGAGCTATACAGGTCTATGGGAAGGGCCTTAAGACCAGGTATGGGCAAACTTCAGCCCTCCAAGTGTTTTGGACTACAACTCCCACAATTCCTAACAGCCGGTAGGGACCGCTGTACTGTTGCAGGGAATGCTGTGGATGGAGCAGGATGCATCTACCAAGCTTGTAACTATTCAAAAGAGATGAATCTGGCATGAATTGTTGACTTTTAGTGATCCCAGCATCCCTTTCAAAGTGATTGCAGACTGCCTGGTTCATTATCTGCTCCAGGATCTTCCCTGGTCTTGATGACAGGCTGACTGGCCATTGGCCATTGGGTCGTTGTGAGTTTTCCTAGCTGTATGGCCTGTGAAAACTCACAACAACCCAGTGATTCCGGCCTTGAAAGCCTTTGACAATACGTCGGTCATTGTTTGGGTCCTCTGTTTTCCCCTTCCTGAAGATAGATCGGGACATCATTTGCCCTCCTCCAGTCTGCTGGGAATTCAGTTGAGGAGTTTGGGAATCCCATGCAACGACCCAAGGAAAGCCAGTGCCACAGATAGAAGAGTTGTTGCATAATAATAATAATAATAATAATAATAATAGGATATGAGGATTTAAAGATTGAACTGCGAAGACTGGCACAAGCCAGTCAAGGTGGTCCCAGTGGTGATCGGCAAACTGGGTGCAGTGCCTAAAGACCGTGGTCTGCACTTAAACCCAATTGGTGCTGACAAGATTACCATCTGTCAGCTGCAGAAGGCCACCTTACTGGGATGCACGCATCATTCGCTGATACATCAGACAGTCCTAGACACTTGGGAAGTGTCCGTCGTGTGATCCAATACAACAGCCAGCAGAGTGATCTTGTCTGCTGTGGAGTCATCTTGTTGTGTTTCAAGTAATCATCATCATCATCATCATCCAGCATTATTATTATTATTATTATTATTATTATTATTATTATTATTATTATTATTAGAAACACAACAAGATGAGTCCACACAAGATCACTCTGCTGGCTGTTGTATTGGATCACACGTCGGACACTTCCCAAGTGGACTCATCTTGCTGTGGACTCATCTTGTGTTTCAAATAATAATAATCATCATCATCATCCAGCATTATTATTATTATTATTATTATTATTATTATTAGAAATACAACAAGATGAGTCCACAGCAGACACTCTGCTGGCTGTTGAAGAGCTTCTTCAATTTTTCTTGTGTTCAGCCAATATTCTTTAATCAGGTTTTTCTTTATTTTAACATTCTTCAATTTTTGCTCCTTCATGTTCTTTAGATTGCTTGCATCTGATCGTAGGCTCTTACTATTATTATTATTATTATTATTATTATTATTATTATTATTATTTAGAAAATACAACAGAATACAGTATAATGATAATGCAATCATTATACAGTTAGAAAATACATCATTATTATTATTATTATTATTATTATTATTATTATTATTATTATTATTATTATTATTTGTGGCATTGGCTTTCCTTGGGTCGCTGCATGGGATTCCCAAATTGCTCATTTGGAAACAATAAACATTGACAAAATCACGATCTGTGAACTGCAAAAGGCCATCTTACTTGGATCTGTACACATCATTCGAAAATACATCACACATCACCTAGACCAGTGGTTCTCAACCTGTGGGTCCCCAGATGTTTTGGCCTTCAACTCCCAGAAATCTTAACAGTTGAGAAACTCGCTGGGATTTCTGGGAGTTGTAGGCCAAAACACCAGGGGACCCCAGGTTGAGAATCACTGACCTAGATGCTTGGGAAGTGTTCAACTTGTGATTTTTTGATACGAAATCCAGCATACATATCTCATTTGCTGTGACATACTGTGTTTTTGTGTCAGTATAATAATAATAATAATAATAATAATAATAATAATAATAATAATAATAATTGCATGATTCTGAACACAAGGTTAAATTTAGATTTTATTTCATGCAATACAGCAATGGAGGTTTGGAAAAGATGCTCCTTGGGGGCCTCCCATTTTCCTTGGGGTTCTTCTTTACTTCGGAGGCAAAAACTCCTCATCTGCTGAAAGGAAGGAAATAATGAAATAAGAAAAGGTGAGTGAGGATACTAGATTCTGAAGGGGCTTCTTGAGGTCATCTATCTACCTCTTCCAGGGACATTTGCACAGACAAGGATTTATAGTATGTATGTGATAATAATAATCTATATAAATAAATATGTAATGTTCGTTTGTGGGATTAACATAACTGAAAAACCACTGGACAAATTGACACCAATTTTGGACACAAGACACTTATTAGGCCAACGAGTGTCCATCACTCATTAAAACACCGGGGGGGAACAGTGGAAGAGACTTAAAAAGCCTAAAAATTAAAAAATACATTACAATGCATGTGTATATATGTGCAAAACCACGTATATACACATACATACACACACAAAACATACACAGACTGGGCCACAGCAATGCATGGCAGGGGATGGCTAGTACACTATATAGGACAAATGCAATTTGGTGACATACCAGTACTTTCAGGCAGAAATGAAGGGATACCTTGGGAAACTACAACTCCCAGGTTGCACCCTTGTCATCCACTGAGATCGTTTGATATATCGGCGGAAGAGCTTAACCCAATAATAATAATAATAAAATTATAAAATAATATAAAATGCAATAGAATACAGTATAATACAATGAGAATACAATATAATACGGTACGGCATGCAGTCATGCTGGCTACATGACCTTGGAGGCGTCTACGGACAATGCCGGCTCTTTGGCTTGGAAATGGAGATGAGCACCAAACCCCCAGAGTCGGACACGACTGGACTTAATGTCAGGGGAAAACCTTTACCTTTAATGTAATGGTAATATAATAATAATACAATGGTACTATTAGAAAATACAATATATTATAATAATACAATAATAATACAATTGTACAATTAGAAAATACAACATAATACAATATAATGATTATACAATTAGAAAATACAATATAATATAATGATACAATAATCATACAATTGTACAATTAGAAAATGCAATAGAATACAATATAATATAATAATATAATAGTAATCCAATTGTACAATTAGAAAATACAACAGAATACAGTATAATGATAATACATTAATTATACAATTAGAAAATACAATATAATATAATGATAATACAATGACGATACAATTGTACAATTAGAAAAATTGACTTTTTCAAATAACCTGGGCAATGCCAGGTACTCAAGCTAGAGATAATACAGTATAATTGTGTGTGCGTGTGTATATACACATATATAATATTGGTAAGAATAATGTGGGTTGCTCACCCTCGGCAAGGACTCCACAGTACTCCTTGCACTCCTTCTCCAAGTAGAACATGTTGGCGTTTCCGCCGCATCCCTGGAAGGTGACGCATTTGCCCTGATTGGCGTCAAAGGCCCAGAATTCAGAGTTGCAGGGCAGTCCGGGGTTGATGGGAAGACGGCAGGCCGCTGGAGAGCAAAGGGAAAGAACAACCGGGCATTTTCACGGCCACGTATCACAGAATTGGCATTGTGTTTGGAGAGAGGCAGGTTGGCCCCTTGGGAAGGGAAGTCCCCCAAACCCTGATATGACCCCCAATGGTGGGCTGACCCTCAGTGCGGCAGGTCTGGAGGCAGGCCCGTTCGGAGGGGAAATTGTTCCCGTTGCCCATGCATCCGCCAAAGAAGAAGGGCTGGCAGTGCTGGGCGCTGGCGTTGTAGAAGTGCCGGCCCAACATCCCCAGGCAAGGCCCCGCGTCCGGAGGGAGTAGGCAGTCGGCTGCAGAGAAACGAGAGGCAAGAAGGGGAGACCTTTCAGTACATGTACAGGCATGCACCATATTGAGCAGACATGGGCAAACTTGGGCCCTCGGGGTGTCTTGACTCACAATTCCTGACCTCAGGCCCCTTCCTTTTCCCCCTCATGTGCAAAACCACATATATACACATATTCACACACAAAATGCTCATACAAAGACTGAGCCACCACAGCAATGTGTGGCAAGGGACAGCTAGTATATGTACGTATGTGTGTGTATCTATATAAATAAAAATGTAATGTTCGTTTGTGGGATTAACACAACTCAAAAACCACTGGACGAATTGACACCAAACTTGGACACAATACACCTATCAGGCCAATGAGTGTCCATCACCCCTAAAAACACAAAAAGACCCAGCAGAACGGACTTAACCCCCCCCCAAAATAAACTGTGTATACATATACACTCATATACATATACACATGCACACATACATACAGACACTCACATATATGTACACAAGGACGCACAAATATACACATAGATATAGACATGCACACATACACATATATTTACATATACACATTCATACATACACACATATACATATAGACATACATACACATATATACATAAGCACACAAATATAGACAATATACATATACACATATAAACACAGAAATACACAAATATATACACACTTATACACATTTATGCACACACACATATACACCCATCTATCTATATATTTGTGTATATGTGTATATATGTGTGTTTTCATATAGAGATATAGATATATACACGTACACACACAAAATATATATACAGACTGGGCAACAGCAAAGCGTGGCAGGGGACGGCTAGTATCTATATAAATAAAAATGTAATGTTCGCTTTGGGATTAACATAACCACTGGATGAATTGCCACCAAATATGGCCACAAGGTACCTAGTAACCCAAGGAGTGACCATCACTCAAAAAAATTGATTTTGTCATTTGGGAGTTGTTGTTGCTGGGATTTATAGTTCAGCTACAATCAAAGAGCATTCTGAACTCCACCAATGATGGAATTGAACCAAACTTGGCACACAGAACTCCCATGACTAACAGAAAACTCTGGAAGGGTTTAGTGGACATTGACCTTGAGTTTGGGAGTTCATCTCCATCCAGAGAGCACTGTGGACTCAAACAATGATGGATCTGGACCAAACTTGGTGTGAATACTAAATATGGCCAAATGTGAACACTAGTGGAGTTTGGGGGAAATAGACCTTGACATTTGGGAGTTATAGTTACTGGGATTTATAGTTCACCTACAATCAAAGAGCATGCTGAACCCCACCAACGAGAGAAATGGGGCAAACTTCCCACACAGAACCCCGTGACCAACAGAAAATACTTAAGGCCATCCAGTACAACTCTCTTCACCAGGGAAAGAAAACATAATCAAAGTCCTCTTGACAAAGAGCTATCCAGCCATAGATATAGATAGATAGATATGATTCACACACACACACAGAGAAATATAGTGTTATAGATTTGAAAGGGACCCCTAAAGAAGGGCAATTATATATTACATGTACCAGAGTAGGCAAACCAGACACTCTCCACATCAACACTGACAAAGAAATAGCAAGAAATACTGTTTACCCACAAGCATAAAGAAATAACATATATTAAAAACCAACATGTTCTCATTATATTGTCGAAGGCTTTCATGGCCGGAATCACTGGGTTGTTGTAGCTTTTTTCCGCGTTACTTTATTTTCCAGATCACCAGACTGGGCCACAGCAATGCCTGGCAGGGGATGGCTATTGTATGTGTGTGTTTCTGTGTATAAATCATAAAAATACTGGAGAACACAGCAGAAGAGACTTAAAAAGCCAAAAAATAAAAAATACAACGCATGCGCAAAACCACATATACGCAGACTGAGCCACAGCAATGCATGGCAGGGGACGGCTGGTTTATATATTTATGGGGGGTCCTTTCCTACCTTCCTTGTTTCCGGGAAAGGCGTTCAGGGGTCCGTCGGCCGAACCTTCATCCTGGAACAAGGTTGCCGACCTTCGATCCCGAGGCTGCAAAAGGCAAATCTTATTATATCTTTCAGCTTTTGGGGAGGGGGTCCAATGGGGTCAGCCACCCCCCCCCCAATGGCTGCTTTAAGGAGCTGGTTGCACACTAAATAGTGTTACAATTGAAACTAATTTTCTTGCAAAGGCTTTCATGGCCAGAATCGCTGGGTGGTTGTGAGTTTTCCAAGCTGTCTGGCCATGTTCCAGGAGCATTCTCTCCTGACGTTTCTCCTGCATCTATGGCAGGCATCCTCAGAGGTTGTGAGGTCTGGAACTGCCTGAAGAAGGAATGCACCCAAAGTCTTTTGGATGGGATTTTTTGAAGGGTCACCCCATTGCAAAGCCTACCTGTGGGTCCTTGTTGGCCTCGGGTGGTACACATTCCCCTATAAAAAGAGAGATGAGGCTGAGAGAGTGTGACTCATAACTAGGGACCCATATCATATTGGAGGGAGGGCTTCCTGAGAGCCAAAGCTGGTGTCTGATTGGACTTGCAATCCAACCCAGTCTATGTATTACGATTGATGCTACTACTCTAAGGAAGTGGCACTCACCTCCTTCTATATAATGACAGTGGTTGGGACTTAGAGTCCATTCCTTATCATTATTATTAGTCTGAGGAGGCAGTAACCCAGCATCCCCTCCTTGGCTATGACATGATGGCGGCTGATGGGATTTGCAATCCAGCTCCATCCATTGGAAGTCATATTCAAGCCTCCCCCTTTGGAGACTCATGGGACTTGTAAGCTATTTCTTATGTTTGTTGTTAACCCAAGGAAGCGGTCAATACCCCAGCATCCTCCTTGGCTATGCTGATGGGACATGCAATCCAATCTCATTATTATTATTATTATTATTATTATTATTATTATTATTATTATTTTATATTCCAGCATTCCTCTTTGACTATGAAAACCATTGATGGGACTTACCATCCATTCCCTTATTGTTGTTGTTGTTGTTGTTGTTGTTGTTGTTGTTATTCTTATTATTACCTGAAGGAAGTGGCATCCCTGCTTAGCTATCAGTCTATCTGTCTTCTATCTCTATCATCTCTGTATCGTGATGGCAATCCACTCCCTTATTTATTTATTTACTTCGCTTATATACCGCAATTCTCAGCCTAACGGCGACTCATTGCGGTGTACAACATAGAAAACTCCCTTGTTGTTGTTGTTATTATTATTACCTGAAGAAAGTGGCATCCCTGCTAGGCTATCAATCTATCTGTTTTCTATCTCTGTCATCTGTATGTATCACCTCTCTATCATGATGGCTGATGGGACATGCAATCCAATCCATGTTGTTGTTGTTATTAGGTCAAGGAAGTTGTAGGCCTACACACACACACACACACACACACACACACACACACACCGACTATGCTGATGCCTGATGGGATATGCAATCCATTCTATTATTATTATTATTATTATTATTATTATTATTATTATTGTCATCATCTCAAGGAAGTGGTCTTCCAGCACCCCCCCTTGACTACTGTGGTGGCTGCTGGGCCTTGCCATTCATCTTGCCTGCATTCGGAAGGGTGAAGATGGCATCCTCTGGGAGGCCCAGGCCCAGCGCAAACTGCCTGAATTCAGCCAGCAGCTCTTCCCGAACCTCTGGGTTCCTCCCTGAAAGGGACAAAGTGGGTGTTAATGCCTTGGATCAGACAATGGATCAAGTGACCCCCAATGACCCCAGGGAGTGACCGCTGCTGACCGTAGAGTTTGGCTGTAGTGGTCACTCCGTGGCTGCTGCTGTTCTTCTTCATCACAACGAAGGCAAACTCATCATAGTTGGTGCGGGCGACGTAGTGCTCGATATGGGCCTTCCACTCTGCAGAGGATCGGGATTATTATTAATTATTATTTTTATTATTAATTGTATAATGTGTAACACTATTGTATAATAATAGAAATAATATAAAATAATCATAACAATATAACTAAAATATTATAATACTGTACTATAATAGGAAGAATACAACTAAAATAATCAATCAATGATTTATTACAGTCTTTGACCAGCACAGTATAGAATGGGGCACCGGTGCCCAAGGAAGGGAATCGCAGTTCCCAAGTAGGTCAGGTATAAAAGCAGATTAAAAACATGTTATAAAAGAGACACATTAAAAATAAAACAAAACAGACTAAACTTACAGTTTAAAGTGCATGTATGAACTAAAATAATAATACTGTAGTCTAATAATAATGTACTATAATAGTAATAATATAACTATAATAATAATAATTTATTTATATCATTTTCATCCCGCCCAAATCAGCCCAAAGGCGACTCAGGGCGGCGAACAATCGGCACAATTTGATGCCATATATAAAATACACACATCAATAAAAATAAATCATCACATTACAATATATCTTAAAACATCAAAACAGTGAACAATAAAAAATTTAAAACTATGTAGTCATATTCAGTCCTCATCCGTTCCTTCATCTTAGCCGTTCCTAGGTCGTTTTCCAATTCAGGTTTATCTGATTGAGCTGAAGCTCCGAAAGCTTGCTTGAAGAGCCAAGTTTTCAGGGTTTTTTTTTTAAAGCTTAGGAGGGAGGGGGCCAATCAGATATCCCTGTGCAGGAAGTTCCACAACCGAAGGGCCACCACAGAGAAGGCCCTGTCTCTCGTCCCTGCCAGACGTGCTTGTGAAGCATGCGGGATCGAGAGCGGGGCCTCCTCCGACGATCTCAAATCCCTAGTTATACTATAATAATATAATGTAACACTATAGTATAATAAAATAATAATAATATAATATCATACATAGCAATGTATAATAGTAACTATTAGTGTAATTATAATCTAATATGTAATAATAATAATAATTATTATTATTATTATTGTTGCATATGATTACTACTATTGGCAGATTGGGAAAAGCCCCTGGGAAAGTACACAAAACCCTTTTGAAGGAGGCAATAATAAGACCTGCCTGTAGAGGGCAGCAGTGCCAAGCATATCCAGCCAATTCTTCGCCCATTCCATCTATTCTGATTGGACTCATTGGCATTTGATGCAGCCAATTACATCCCTTATTATTATTATTATTATTATTATTATTATTATTATTATTATTATTATTATTATTATTGCATGCTATTGTTATAATTATTACGACTATTGTCAGGTTGGGAAATATTATTAATTTTAAATAATTATTAATTATTTATTAATAATTATTAATTACCATATATACTCGAGTATAAGGCGACCCGAATATAAGCCGATGCACCTAATTTTACCACAAAAAACTGGGAAAACATATTGACTCGAGTATAAGCCGAGGGTGGAAAATGCAGTAGCTATGGGTCGATTTGAAAATAAAAATAGATACCAATAAAATTACATTAACTGAAGCATCAGTAGGTTCAATGTTTTTGAATCTATATAAATAAAAATGTAATGTTCGATTTTAGGATTAACATAACTCAAAAACCACTGGATGAATTGACACCAAATTTGGACACAATAGAAATATCAGGCCAATGAGTGACCATCACTAATAAAACACTGGGGGGAAAAACAGCAAAAGAGACTTAAAAAAAAACCAAAATATGCACAAAACTACATATATACACAAACACACTATACACAAATATATACACACATATATACACACACAAAACACATATACACAGACTGGGCCACAGCAACAAGTGGCAGGGGACAGCTAGTGTTTACATAAAACTATAATTTAAGATAAGACAGTCCAAGTCTGATTAAACCATTATTCTAACCGTCTTCAATGTCAATGTGATAATGCATCTTTCTAATAATAAGTAATAGAGTAAAATAATAAATGCAATAATACTAGTAGAATACAATAATAAATATAATAATAATAATAATAAATATAGTAAAATAATACATGTAATAAAATAACAATAATAACAGTAAAATAATAAATAACATTGACTCGAGTATAAACCGAGGGGAACTTTTTCAGCCTGAAAAGGGACTGAAAAACTAGGCTTATACTCGAGTATATACAGTATTATATTTATACCCTGCTTTATCTCCCCTGAAGGGTACTCATTAAATATAAAAGCATTAGCAAAAGTATCCCTGCTGTCCTAGTATTAATTCCCCACTCCCCTTGATGCCATATCTGCACATTACAATGCAAAGCCTGACCCGCTTTTACTCCTTCCTAAACCTACTGGGGTTGTAGTAGTTGAATCTGCCCGGGACGTCGGTTTTCTGGTACTCTCCGGTGACCTGGCTGCATACGCCTTGCCTGCAAGGAAGAAAGGGAGGGTGATGCTTCCGTTTTGCAGAACTTTGGGTGGCAGCCATTCCGGGTTTCAGTCCAAACTAAAGGGAGCCCTCCCCAGCCTACCTGATGCGGGTGGAGGTGAAGGTGGTCTCCCTGTCCGTCTTCCCCGCAGCCACCACCAAGGTGCCCATTTGGAAGCGGTCCCTGTGCTGCTTTACCCAGCGGCAGTTGCTGCCCATCGCCACCCCGAACCATTTCCCATAGAACTAGGAAGGGGATAAACGAAAGATCAACAAAACAGCAGGACCTGGGAGTCTAAGGAGGGAGCCAGCTGAACGTGAGCCAAAAGGGCCATGCGGCAGCGAAAAAGGCCAATGCAATTCTAGATCAAGTCATGAAGTCAAGGGAAGTCCTTGCCTCGCTCTCCTTGGTCAAGCTTTCAGTGGAATAATAACCCTGGGCCCAGTTTGAGAAAGTAACAGACCGGGCCTGTGACCTCCCTTTAACCCTGAATGGAGGTTATTTCCTGTGCCAGCATAAGGAGGGTTGGGCTAGATGGCCTTTGGAAACCCCTTCCCAACATTGTCCGTCTTTGCTATTTCCTGTGCCAGCGTTAATGGGGTGAGCTAGATGGCCTTTGGAGGCCCCTTCCCAACATTGTCCGTCTTTGCTATTTCCTGTGCCAGCATTAAGAGGGTGGGCTAGATGGCCTTTGGAGGCCCCTTCCCAACATTTTCCATCTTTGCTTCCATGACTCTATGAGGTTCCAAAGGACAAGTTGGATTTCTGTCTATCTACACTGGGAATCTATCTATACTGGGAATCTATACTGGGCATCTGTCTATCTGTTCAGGGAATCTATCTTTACTGGGAATCTATCAGTTTGTTTATCTCAGGCATGGGCAAACTTCGTCCCTTTGGGTGTTTGGGACTTCAACTCCCACAATTCCTAACAGCCAAACAAGAGAAAATATGTCTTTATCATCATCATCATCATCATCATCATCTATTTGTGTTCTCGAAGGCTTTCATGGCCGGAATCACTGGGTTGCTGTGAGTTTTCCGGGCTGTCTGGCCTTGTTCCAGAAGCATTCTCTCCTGACATTTCACCCACATCTATGGCAGGCATCCTCAAAGGTTGTGAGGTCTGTTGGAAATTAGGCAAGTGGGGTTTATATATCTGTGGAATGGTGTCCAGGGTGGGAGACAGAGCCCTTGTCTTTTTGAGGCAAGTGTTGCAATTGGCCACCTTGATTAGCATTGAATGGCCTTGCAACTTCAAAGCCTGGCTGGTTGCTGCCTGGGGGAATCTCTCTCTCTCTCAATATCTATCTCTCAATATCTATCTACCTTGAAGTGACTGGACTGACCTTGAAGGAGCTGGGGGTGGTGACGGCCGACAGGGAGCTCTGGCGTGGGCTGGTCCATGAGGTCACGAAGAGTCAGAGACGACTGAACGAATGAACAACAACAAATATCTATCTATTTTTCTATATGTATCGATATCTATCTCTATCTGTTTATTTATGTATCAATATCTATCTATGTATGTATCAATCTCTCTCTCTATGCATCAATATCTATCTCTATCTATCTATCTATCTATCTATCTATCTATCTATCTATCTATCTATCTGTGTATCTCTATCAATGTATCAATATCTATCTATCTATCTATCCATCTATGTATCTTTATCTATCTATGCTTCAATATCTATCTATCAATATCTATGTATCAATAGCTATCCATGTATCCCTATCTATCTATCTATCTATCTATCTATCTATCTATCTATCTATCTATCTATCTCTAACCCCAACTTGGACCATTCAAATATGATGATGATTATAGAATCCCAGAGTCAGAAGAAAACCCCTGGGCCATCTAGTCCAACCCCCTCCTGCCCTACAAGCAAAGCACTATCAAAGCCCCCCCCCCCCCACAGATGGCCATCCAGCCTCCCTTGCCTGGCCATCTGTCAGGGTGGTTTTGATGGTTCCCTTCCAAGGCTGTGACACTCTGGCTCACGGTGCCCCCCAAAGCCTCCCCCCCCCCCCCCCCCCCGGACCCACATTACCCGGGTTTCTTGGAAGTCCTCCTGGACCTGGGGGCTTCCAGCCATCTCAATGGGGCTCCCAGTGGCCCAGGCAAAGAGGAGGAGGAGGAAGGAGAGGCTGCAGAGGGGCTCCATGGCTCAGGCTGTGCTCTCTTGGGCTCCAAGGGGGACAATCCTGTTTCCTGGGCTCTGGCTTGGATTTGGGAGACCAGGCAAAACGGCCTTCGGACTTCGGACCTGAGGAGGGAGGGCAGTGGCCGCACGGACAAACTTCTGTTGCCTGAGGGAGGGAGGGAGGAGGAGGCCCCAACGCCAGAAGGAGGGTCTCAACGAGGGTCTCAAAGAGGCCCATATAGGAGCAGGAGGGTGGGGGGCTTTGGGGCAGCTAAAGACCGGTAATTTTTCTACCAGTCTGTCATTCTGGTTGGCCCATCATCTAGCTCTAGGCATGTTCTCTCCTATATCATTCAGTGGTTCTCAACCTGTGGGTCCCCAGATGTTTTGACCTTCAACTCCCAGAAATCCTAACAGCTGGTAAACCGGCTGGGATTTCTGGGAGTTGTAGGCCAAAACACCTGCTACTAGCATCCCTCTCAATCATGTCTATATGTCACCTATCTCTATTACACGCACCAACACATATATGCCCCTCTTTCTAAGCTATTTTCTCAACAGAGGGGTTAGCACTCTGACTGTCGTTTCCACAGGGCTTTGTTTTGGGCATCCTTAGGTCTCAGGTTGGCACGATGCATGTCTTAATTGATGGTATCATCCATCTTTTCTTGGGACATCCACATGGTAATCGTTCTGCAATCTCCAAATGTGTATAGTGCTGTAGTATCTCCATCCATCCATCTGTTTATCTATCCATCCATCCATCCACCTATCCGTCCGTCCATCCATCCATCTAGCCATCAATCCATCCATCCACCTATCCCTCCATCCATCCATCCATCCATCCATCCACTTATCCATCCATCCAGGCAGCCAGCCATCCATCCACCTATCCATCCATCCATCCACCTATCCATCCATACACCTATCCATCTAGCTGTCCACCCATTCATCCATCCGTTCCTCCATCCACCTATCCATCAATCCATCCATCCATCCATCTCCATTCATCCATCTCCATCCATCTATCTCCATCCATCCATCCATCCATCCATCTATCCATCCATCTCCATCCACCCATCTATCCATCCATCCATCCATCCATCCATCCATCCATCCATCCTCCTATCCATCCATCCATCCATCCACCTATCCCTCCATCCACCCACCTATCCCTCCATCCACCCACCTATCCCTCCACCCACCCACCCACCCATCCATCCACCCACCCACCCACCCATCCATCCATCCACCCACCCACCCACCCACCCACCCACCCATCCATCCATCCATCCATCCACCCACCCACCCACCCATCCACCTATCCATCCATCCACCTGTCCATCCACCTGTCCATCCGTCCATCCGTCCATCCATTCACCTATCCATCCATCCATCCATCCATCTCCATCTCCATCCATTTATCTCCATCCATCTATCTTCATCTGTCTCCTTCCATCCATCCATCTCCATCCATTCACCTATCCATCCACCTATCTGTCCGTCCATTTATCCATCTCCCTTTTTACCTAGCGATCATATCTCTCTCAATCATAATGATATACCTCTATCTATCCTATTTCTACCTGTATACTTATAATCTCTCTCTCAGTAATATCTATCATCTGAGTCTATTATTTATCATCTATCTCCACCTATATCTATCATCTCTCTCAATCATATTTATCATTCTGTCTGTCTATCATGTCTCTATCATCTATTATCTTCCTACAACGATCTATTTATCTTTCTGTATCTATCATCTCCCTCTGAATCATCCATCCCTCTCTCTGAAAACTCAACAATAGAATGGCAATAAGCAAACATTAAAAACAACACAAGGTAGAAAGCCACGAATCCCCCTCCCACTTTGCCCCCTTGGCGGAACCAAAGCCAACACAAAAACATATTCAAAAAGTGGTTTATTGGGACGCGACTACACTCTCATAGAGTTTAAAGGGGCCCGGCGATCCCTATTGATTTGTTCCCCCGTCAATGATTAGCCGAAGGCAAACAGAGGGGAGGCCAAGGCAAGCGGCAAAGGTTGCAGGACCCATCCTCTCCCTTGAAGCCCAGCTTTGAAGAACAAACAAACAGGAAGAGATCAATAACAGGAGGTCTGTCCTTCCATTTCTCCTGCCCTAGGATCGCCTTGGCTTCTTCCGCCGCAGCCGCCCCCGCTTGGCTCAGGCCCAGCTGAACACAATGGGGTTCTGGACACAGCGGAAGGCAATGACCTGTGCTTGGCTCACAATGGCCACAGGCCCAAGACGGATTCCGGCCCAGAAGCTTCTCCTTCCGTGGGTTCAGCCCTTGGAGGCGCCTGCGTCCTTGTGTGGCCCTTGTCCTCCCCTGACTCTTGACCTGGATGTGACCCTCCCCCAATCTGCACCATGAAGTGCCCCAAGAAAAAGAATATGGCGGAGCAGTTTTGGAAACTGAAGGCCATCCTTCTCCTCCAAGGCAAGGAGGCCGGAGGGGCTTGGTTTGGAAGGGAGGGTGGAGGGTGAGCCCTGGCTCCACAAGAAGCCAATATAGATGATCAAGAGATAGATAGATAGATAGATAGATAGATAGATAGATAGATAGATAGATAGATAGATAGAAAGATAGATAGATAGATAGGTGATAGGAGGGTGAGCCCTGGCCCCACAACAACTGAGAGAGAAGGAGGAAGCGAACAGACTATATTAACGTAAATTATAGATAGGTCGATCAATCGATAGATAGATAGATTGATAGATAAGTAAGTTAACACTGGCTCTACAACAATCGGGAGTAAATGAGGAAGCCAATATTTAGAAACATGCCAGTATATTTATGTATAGATAGATATAGGTAGGGGAGAGTAGAGGGTGAGCCCTGCCCCCACGACAACTGAGAGGGAAGGAGGAAGCCAATAGAATATATACACATAGATAGATAGATAGATAGATAGATGGATGGATGGATGGATGGATGGATGGATGGATGGATGGATGGATGGAGGGATGGAGGGACGCACGGACGGACGGACGGACGGACGGACGGACAGACAGACAGACAGACAGACAGACAGACAGAAAAGATATATAGGTGAGGGTGAGCCCTGGCCCCACGACAACTGAGAGGGAAGGAGGAACCCAATAGAATATATACACATAGATAGATAGATAGATAGATAGATAGATAGATAGATAGATAGATAGATAGATAGATAAGATAAGATAGAATATATACACATAGATAGATAGATAGATAGATAGATAGATAGATAGATAGATAGATAGATAGATAGATAGATAGATAAGATAGATCAGCAGTCTTCAAACTTTTTAATGAGAGGACCAGGTCACAGTCCCTCAAACTGTTGGGAGGGCTGGATTATAACTTGGGGGAAAAAATGAATGAATTCCTATACACACTACACATATCTTATTTGTAGTGCAAAAAAACACTTAAAAACAATACAATAATAAAAATGAAGAACAATTTAAACAAATATAAACTTATTAGTATTTCAATGGGAAGTGACGGCTTGCTTTTGCCTGATGAGATAGGATTGTTGTTGGGTGCTTGCAAGTCATTTTAGGCTTAGGTTGACCCTGAGCAAGGGTCAAGTAAATTAACTTGGAGGGCCATATCCGGCCCTCGGGCCTTAGTTTGAGGCCCCCTGAGATAGATAGAGAGATAGATAGATATATAGATGAGAGTGGAGGGTGAGCCCTGGCCCCACAACTGAGAGGGAAGGAGGAAACCAACAGACTATATACACTTAGATAGATAGATAGATAGATAGATAGATAGATAGATGATAGATAGACAGACAGACAGACAGACAGACAGACAGACAGACAGACAGATAGATAAGATATATAGGTGAGGATGAGCCCTGGTCCCACGACAACTGAGAAGGAAGGAGGAAGCCAATAGAGTATTTACATATTGATCGATAGATAAATAGATAGATAGACAGTGGAGGGTGAGCCCTGGCCCCACGACAACTGAGAGGGAAGGAGGAAGCCATAGACTATATACACTTAGATAGATAGATAGATAGATAGATAGATAGATAGATAGATAGATAGATAGATAGATGAGAGTGGGCCCTGGTCCCATGGCAACTGAGGGGGAAGGAGGAACCCAACAGACTATATACACTTAGATAGATGGATAGATAGATAGGTAGATAGATGAGAGTGGAGGGTGAGCCCTGGCCCCACAACAACTGGAGGCCTATCCACACAGCTCTATATCCCAGAACATCAACACAGAAGATCCCACATTATCTGAGTGTGGACTCAGATAACCCAGTTCAAATCAGATATTGTGGGATTTTCTGCCTTCATATTCTGGGATATAGGACTGTGTGGAAGGGCCCTGAGAAGGAAGGAGGAAGCCAACAGACTACATACACATAGATGATAGTTGAATGGATGGATGAGACTAGAGGCTGAGTCCTGGCCCCATAACAATTGTAAGGAGGAGGTCACTAGACACAGATGTAGACAGATATAGAGAGGAGAGGAGAGGAGAGGGTGAGTCCTGGCACCAAAACAAGTGGGAGGGAAGGATAAAGTCAATAGATATAGATAGATACAGATACATGACGGGGAGACTGAGAGAGAGAGAGAGAGAGAGATGATAGATGGTGAATCATGGCACCAAAACAATTGGAAGGACTACTATAGGGTGCAGGTTGTCCCAATGTGTCCCCTTGGCCCTCTGCTCCAGACCAAGTGAAGCAGCTCTTCCTGCAAGGCAAGGAGGAGAACCTGTGCCAGAAGGAGCTGATGAGCTTCCTGCCCCAGAAGACCTGGACCGGGATGCCGGAGTTGCACCACGTCATGAAGGTGAGCCCTTGGCGCCCAATGGACAGGAAGGGCCCTTGGCGCCCAGCATCGGCTGACCCCCTTCCGCCCCTTGCCCCCCACAGCACGACCGGGAGCTCCTCTGCAGCCACGTCTTCGACCAGAAGAACGCCGAGAACCTCCTGCTCTTCGAAGTGGCCCAAAGGGAGCGCTGCCTGGAGAACCTCCAGCTGCGGCTGCAGCACCTAATGGACTTGGAGACCCCCGACCCACGGGCCCAGGCCCAGATGCAGGTCAGCCAAGGAGCCCCTGGAAATGGGGTGCATTTGGGGGTCCTGCAGTTAAAAGCATCCCAGCTTCTTAGAAATGCCTTTGGAGTCCAAATAAATGCATACAGGGCTTCCAGGAAACAGATAAAGGAGATCCTAATAAAGATATTTGGGGTCCCAGTAAGTGCATTTGGGGGTCCTGGAAATGCATTGGGGTCCAAGTAATTGTGCTGAGGGTCCTAGAAATATATTGGGAGCCCCAAAAGCGAGGGACCCAATAAATGCATCAAGGGCTCCCAGGAAATGGATAAAGGGGATCCTAATAAATATATTTGGGGGTCCCAGTAAGTGCATTCAGGGGTCCTGGAAATGCATTGGGGTCCCAATAAGAGCAGGAATCCCAGGAAATGGATACAGGGGTCCCAGTAAGTGCCTTTGGTGCCTTTTGCATTCATCCTGGTAATAAATGTATTTGGGGTTCCCAATGAAGTGATGCGGAGCATCTTTTTTCCCCAAGTATTTGTAGTTCGCCAAGGGCTGGACAATGGATTCTGTTGCTTCCTGACCCAGCACACATAACTGGGTTCCTGTTTCTTCTTTGTGAATTCTCTGGCTTGTGCACTGGACCCTGGCCCTTGATCAGGGAAATGTAGTTCTCCGAAGGACATTGCCCCACACCCCTCCGCCTGGAAGTCCCCTTACAGATTCTTTTGCCTTTACTTATTGACTTGATGCCCCATCGTCTTGGACCTCCTCCACGGACTCCGAACCAGGCCCCTGGGCAGGAACAGCCTCCGCCTGCGTGTGCACCTTCGCCAAGGAGATCATAATTCTGGCAGAAATGAAATGTATGAAATGTATGAAGCATGAGAAAATGTTTATAATTGATATCTATCACATAAGATGCACCCTGACTCTCTCCCCCTCCCACCTTTCCTCCCTCTGAACCTTGCCCCAGAAAAGAATGTGACCTGAGGTTATTGTCAGGAGGAAACCTCATTTCCTCAAAAGTAAATCCATTCATATTAACATTTTGCATGGGCCGGGGTTGATCCTATCTCCGGGCACATTTTCAGAGTTCAGACAATGGGCCAGGGATAAGTCAACCGAAACCTGGAAAGAAGGATTGATTAACCCAACCCATGGTATTTGTGTAAGCTCCTTTGTGATTAAGGGTCCCCTTGTCCACAGAGTTTGAGATCCGAATACCACCAATAGCCCCTTTTCATGCCTATACACATCTGTAATCAGAAATCAGGAAATCCTTTGTTTCTTCCGTCTGCCACCCCACAGCTTAGAACAAAAGTTCTCAATCGGCTGGCGGACACCTCCCAGGCACTCCGCCCCCTATGAGCTGTCAAACCAGGTCCCACCTCCTGGTCGCTGATTGGACCATCCTCAGAAGCGCTAGAAAGGCTCCGATTGGCCCCCTGGAGGCAACAGCGCCCGGCGATTGGAGGGAAGGCGGGACATACGGCCCGGCCTCCTCCCAGCTGTTCCAGGGACAGCCAATCAGGACGAAGCCAGCTGACGGAGGGTGGGCGGGATTTTCAAACTGTTTTTCCTTTGTTCTGACAATATAAAAATGCCTGTGACTCCTATGAATGTATGCTTATGGTGGAAATATCCCTGTAACGCATCCTTTTCAGCTGAATCGCAGAAATAAACGCTTCGGTCGCTGGTACCTCTTCAGCCTCTGGTGAGATTGATTGCTAATACTTCGCGCCTTGGATTGGCTCCTGCTGGCCGCTCACCAAGGTCGGGGACCCCTTTAGCGGTCTCCAGGGATCTCCTTCACTGGGAGAAGCCCCCCAAAAGAGCTCGATATCATTAGGAGGTCCCCGTAAATACATCCGGGGGTCTCAATAAATGCATTGCAGTGCCCTAGTAAATGGCATTCAAGGGGTCCTAAAAATCCATGCCGCATTCCCATCAGTGCCATTGGTACCGTTTGCATTCAGCCTGGGGTTGCAAGCACATCTCATGGATTCGTTAGATAACGGCATCCAGTCCTTCTGCACTGCTGACTCTTTTGTTTTCTGGAGTTCTGCGAATGAAGGGCAGAGGGTTGACCTCTCTCCTGGCCTTGTTTTTGGGACGTCAGCTGATCCGTGGCCTGGAGAACAACATTGAGAAGATGCGGGTGAAGATCATGACGGCCGAGAAGACCTACAGCCTGTACCTGAAGATGGCGATTGTGCTGAGAGAGGTGTGTGTGGACACCCCCCCCCCACAGCCCTGACCGTGATCCTGACCCCCTCTGACCCCATGGCCTTCCCTCCCGCAGGAAGTCTCCTATCTGCCCCTAATCCTGGACGACTTGGAGCAGCGGGTGGCCGACTACCCAGAGAAGCTGCGAGGCATGCGCATCAGCAACAGTGACGAGATCGAGGCCATGGAGAGAGCAAAGGTCAGGCAGGCCCGCAATACCAAGGGTCATTTAGATCTATTCCTCCGTCAGTCCATTTGTCCATCCATCCATCCTCTATCATTCATATCTATCCATCCATCCATCCATCCATCTATCTCTTCCTATCACTAGTACCTACTTTTAGTATCTTTCATTTATCTGTCTATCTATCCATTCTCTATAATTCGTATCTATCTATCCTGCTCTCTATTCCTACCTTTAGCATCTTTCATCTATCCATCCATCCTCTATCATTCCTCTCGATAGATCTATTCCTATCATTAGTATCTACCTTTAGAATCTTTCATCTATCTATAAATCTGTCACTCGTATCTATCTATGTATCTTATGTATCTATCTATCTATTTTTTATCGTTCGTATCTATCTATCTATCTATCTATCTATTTATCTATCTATCATCATCATCTACCCATCCCTATAATTAGTATCTTTCATCTATCTATCCAGCTATTCCTATCATTCGTATCTACCTTTAGTATCATCATCTATCTATATGTCACTCCTATCTATCTATCTATCTGTCGGTCTGTCTGTCTGTCTGTCTTCTATAATTTGTATCTATTGATCAATCGATCGATCGATCTATTTATCTAGTACCTTTCATCTATCTATCTACCTACCTATTCCTATCATTCATATCTACTTTTAGCATCTTTCATCTATCTATCCACCCTCTATCATTCCTATCTATTTCTATTTCTCTCTCTCTCTCTTATAATTAGTATCTACCTTTAGTATCTTTCATCTATCTGTCATCCCTATCTATCTATCTATCTATCTATCATCTATCATCTATCTATCTTCTATAATTCGTATCTATTGATCTATCTACTGATCAATCCATGTATCTATCTATTTCTATAATTAGTATCTTTCATCTATATCTATCTATCTATCTATCTATCTATCTATCTATCTATTTACTTATTCATATCATTTGTATCTACTTTTAGCATCTTTAATCTATCCACCCATGTTCTATCATTCATATCTATTCATCCACCCATCAATCCATCCATCCATCATGTTTATTTATAAAACTTAATTTTCTCTTCTATTGTCTGTCTATATCTCTTTACCTAAACAACAACAATAATGTTATTACTTTCCTCTCCTTGTAGCTTGATATCTATCTATCTATCTATCTATCTATCTATCTATCTATCGATTGATCGATTGATCGATTGATCGATTGATCGATTGATCGATCTATGTGTCTATCTATCCATCTATCCGAAAGGAGAGGCGGGTAATAAATAAACAAATATTATTATTAGTATTATTAATATTGCTATTATTCATAATGTATGTATCAATCAATCGTCTGTTTATCAATTCTCTTTGGTTATTGATCATATTTATTACCAGTCTCTCCTTAAGGCTATCTATCTATCTAACTTCCTACCTACTATGTCTGTCTGTCCGTCCATCCCTCCTTCCCTCTGTCCATCCATCCATCCATCTTTCTCTTTGGTGTCTGTCATATAATACTTTATTTATACCCCGCTACCATCTCCCCAAGGGACTCGGTGCGGCTTACATGAGGCCGAGCCCACAATACATCAATACAAGCAATAACAACAGTAAAACAATTAAATAAAACTCATAAACAAAAAAGCAATATACAATGACAGTAATACAATACACAATTAAAATCTATGGCTGGGACAAATGTCATTAAAGTTAAAAATAATGCTAGGCATGAATAAGGTAGGAGAGATGGGGCATTGGTGAGAGCGTACAAACAATCCTAAATCAGTGCAAAGTGCATTTAGAGGGCACAATGCTGAGAATTCATTATTCTGGGAAGGCACACTGGAACAACCACGTTTTCAGGCTCCTCCTGAAGACTGCCAGAGTTGGGGCATGCCTGATGTCCTTGGGGAGTGAGTTCCAGAGTCGAGGGGCCACCACTGAGAAGGCCCTCTCCCTCGTCCCCACCAATCGCTCCTGCGATGGAGGTGGGAGCACAAGCAGGGGCTCTCCAGATGAACAAAGATATCGTGTGGGTTCATACACAGAAATGCAGGTAGGCAGGTCCCAAACCGTTCAGGGCTTTGTAGGTAATCTATCTTTATCTGTCTTTCCATCTGTCCTATGTATGCATCTATCTATCATTTGTTTATCTACCCATTCTATTATTTATCATCTACCATTTATAGATATAAGAAGATAGATATGTATGTATGTATGTCAGTTTATTTGTTTGGAGCGTAAAGGCTCCTCTGGGGCTTGATGGATCTGAATCAGACTTGACACATTGACCCTTCGTGACCCAACTTGGCATAATGGAGGAATACTGAGCCAAAATTAGAGGTGGGTAATACATGAAGAGACCCTTCCCTTGCAGGAGGACATGGCCGCCGCTCGCAGCGCCCGGGCATCCGGCAGGAAGTTTCGAGAGGCTCTTCTCAGCCTCCAGAAGAAGCAGCTGGAGCGCATCCACACCAAGGATGCCGGGGACCGGCACCGCAGGACGGTGAGCCTCCCTCACAGGGTCAGCGTTGTTGCTGGCCAGGCCCAAGGAGGAGCAAGGCAAACAGGGGCTGTGTGGCCATCTGTCGGGAGTGCCTCTGGGGGTCTCTTTCACTCTATGACCCTACAAAAGCCAAGGGGGCTGTGAAACACATCATGGGATTTGCTGTGCTGTGTGTGTCGAGGCCCTTGTTGACCTGAAGCCCCATCATCCCCTTCCTCTCCCCAACAGCTGGCCCGGCGGGACATGAACATGGACTTCCCTTCCCTGGCAGGACGCGAGCCTACAAAAGGTCAAAATATTACTGATTCGTAACCCTTTCGGTACTAAGGTTGGAGAGAGATCCCTGGTCAAAGTGGTCCCTGGTAAAAAAAAAGGTTGGAGACCACTGGTCTAAGGCCTCCATCTCCTCTCTTTCTTCCTCCTCTCCATCTCAGGCCAGAAGCTGGAGGCCTCCAAGGCGCAGGTGGAGTTCCAGAGCCTGGTCCTCAGCGAAGTGGAGAAGATCAAGAGCGCCGTCAAGTGCTCCCACCTCTGGGTTCGTCACCTTCCTTTTTTGGGGGTCCCTGGGGGTGAGCCGCATCACATCGTTTCCCCACTGCAGATGCGCTCAAGGTCCCTTTCTGCTTCCAGGACATCGCTGGGCGGTTCAAAGCCCAGAAAACATCTGAGGAGAACCTACAGCAGCAAATCGAAGAGTCGGAGGAGCAGAGCCAGGCTTTAGAGCAGCAGCTGAAGGCCCTGGAGCTGGAGCAGGTTGGGCTCAAGTTCCACCAAAACCCCCAATTGCTCAGGTGCGGAACCTGCTTGCCTGCTGAATCCCTACAGCTCAATGCTGTGAGGTCCTGGGAGTTGCAGTTCGGTGGGATATTTACTTAGGGAAGATAATAATAATAATAATAATAATAATAATAATAATAATAATAATAATAATAATAATGTGATCCAATACAACAACCAGCATAGTGATCTTGTTTGCTGTGTACTAACCTTGTTGTGTTTCAAATAGTAAGATATATAGCTAGCTTTGTAGTTTAGGATGCATCTACACTGTTGAATTAATGCAGTTTGATGTCCCTTTAGTTTCTATGGCTCAGTGCTATGAGATCCTGGGAGTTGCAGTTAGGTGGGATATTTATTTAGCAGAAATATTATTATTATTATTATTATTAATAATAAATATATTGTGTTAAATATGTTAAATAATAATAAATAAATTGTGATCGTGTTAAAAAACAAAGTATGGATTGTCGATGTTGCAATCCCTGGTGACAGCAGAAACAACTGGACAAACAGACACGATATGAGGATTTAAAGATCGAACTGCAAAGATTCTGGCACAAGCCAGTCAAGGTGGTCCCAGTGGTGATCAACACACTGGGTGCAGTACCTAAAGACCTTGGTCTGCACTTAAACACAATTGGCACTGACAAGATTACCATCTGCCAGCTGCAAAAGGCCACCTTACAGGGATCTGCACACATTATTCGATACATCACACAGTCCTAGACACTTGGGAAGTGTCCGACGTGTGATCCAATACAACAGCCAGCAGAGTGATCTTGTCTGCTCTGGACTCATCTTGTTGTGTTTCAAATAATAATCTATCTATCTATCTATCTATCTATCTATCTATCTATCTATCAAGAGCATTCTTGTTTAGGATGCATCTAAACTGTCTAATTAATACAGTTTGATGCCCCTTTCATTCCTATGACTCCTTGTTATAGGGTCCTGAGAGTTATAGTTCGGTGAGATATTTATTTATGGGAGATAATAATAATAATAATAATAATAATAATAATAATAATAATATATTTCAGACTAGATGATTGGTGGGATATTTAGGATGCATCGACACCATTGAATGAATGCAATAGGATTTCTGGGAGTTGTACTTTAGCAAGGCCCCAGCCCTCTTCGGCAGAGAAGTTTTCCAAAGACTGTAGGAAACTACAAATCCCAGGAGTCCAAGCTGTGCCGAATTGCCTTAGCTTTATCCCAAGCATGGGCAAACTTCGGCCCTCCAGGTATTTTGGACTTCAACTCTGGTAGGCTGTTAGGAATTATGGGGGTTGAAGTCCAAAACACCAGGCGAGCCAAAGGTTTGCCCATGCTTGCTCTATACAGTATATCAGAGGCTGCCAAACCTTTGGCCCTTTCAGGATTTCAGCTCCCAGAATTCCTGACCATCGACTTTGATGGAAATAGAGGTTTCTGGGAGTTGGAATCCAAAAGCAAAAGAGTCAGATGCACACTTTGAGGCCTATTTCTTTGAGGGGTGGGGAGAATAATTACAAATAATAATATAAATAATATATTAAAATATAATAGCAAAATAATCATATATTAATAACAATAAAACACAATATAATAATAATAATAATAATAATAATAATTATTATTATATAATGATGATAATAAACAAGGCAAGAAATGAATCTGTTTTTTCAGTTTATTGATTATTTTACTGTAGTTCTAAAAAGCTGGAAAAGGATTTGAAGCGAAGCCTGGCAGAGGAGGAAGAGCGGCTGGATCAGGTGCGCAGCCAGGCCGCCAAGAACCAGGAGCTGCTCCTGAATTTTGGGAACGGGGTCGACAACCTCTTCATCCGTCTCTGCGGCATCCAAGTCCCAGGCCAGGTATTCGGCCCTCGGGGATGATGGTATTCCTCCTGTGCTACACGACACTCCTATCTGTTGCTCCTCCCAAACCACACTCCAAATGGGTTTAGCATACCAGGAGGTGCGTCTACACTGAACAATTACTTCGGTTCGACACCACTTGGAACTGCCCAAGGCCATGGCATCGTGGGAGCTGTAGTTGGATGAAGGCAAAGGTTGAGGTTTAAAACACAACCGAAGACCGAGCTCTTCTTCAGTTTTAACTATAACTTTTAAAATCCCCTTCTATGTTTATTGAGTTTTCAATACTTGGGTGATGGTTGGAGTTTTTATGTAGATATCTATCTGCGTGTGTGGGTTTTCTGTAGACGGTGTGACCCAATTGTTGATCTGGTTTACGGATGACTAGGACATCGAGAAAAGGCAGTCTTCCTTCCTTTTCTTTTTCCATTGTGAATCAAGGAACATGAAAGGCATTGCAGACTACTTCAACCAGAGAAGTCAGCCATAGTAGAGCACCTGATGAACCAGCCTGGACACAGCATATTATTTGAGAACACAGAAATGCTGGACCACTCTCAACAACCACCATGTCAGACTACACAGAGAAGCCATTGAAATCCACAAGCATGTGGACAATTTTAACAGAAAGGAGGAGACCATGAAAATGAACAAAATCTGGCTACCAGTATTTAAAAAACTCTAAAATTACAACAGCAAAACAGCAGAGAGGAAACAACCAGGCACATCTTAACACCTCTCAACAAAAGATTCCCCCAGGCTCAGCCAGGCCTTCAATGCTAATGAAGGTGGTCAGTTGAAACATTCACACCTAGCTCCAGCAGAGAAGAGCTCTTTGCCCCACCCCAGTCATTCCACAGATATATAAACCCATTTTTCCTACTTCCAACAGACCTCACTACCTCTGAGGATGCTTGCCATAGATGCAGGCGAAACGTCAGGAGAAAATGCCTCTAGAACATGGCCATATAGCCCGAAAAAAACCCACAAGAACCTAGTATTATTATTATTTATATCCTGCACCTATCTCACTGAGGGGACTCAGGGTGATATAATGTGGGAAATATGTTATAATATATTATTTAATAATATTACTATAATAATAATAATAATAATAATAATAATAATAATAATAAAATATATAATATAGTAATATTATTATTACTATATTACCATTTATATATGAGTATTACTATATATTATATTATTATTACAATTATTATTATTGTATTACTGTTATGACACATTATATTATTACGTTACTATATTACTATAGCAAGATGGATGGATGGCATCCTTGAAGTGACTGGATTGACCTTGAAGGAGCTGGGGGTGGTGACGGCCAACAGGGAGCTCTGGCGTGGGCTGGTCCATGAGGTCACGAAGAGTTGGAAATGACTGAACGAATGAACAACAACATATTACTATTATTGTATTATGATTATTATTACCATTCAGAGCGAATTAACTCCTGCTCTTGAGGCGCTCCCTTATGGTTTCATAAGTCTATAGGTCTTTGGGATAAATCATTATTATATTGGGGTCTTTCCCCTTAATAGTATTTACAATGTAGAATGAATGCAGTTTGGAGCCACTTTACCCGTCCTATGCAGTTTTGTCTTCTAGAGAGTTCCAAACTACAGCTCCCAGGGTCCTTTGGCCTTGAGCCAGGGTAGTTCAAAGGGGTGCCAAACTGCATTAATTTCGCAGTGCGAACAAGAAAGGCCTTTCTCTCTCCAGGCGGATTTTCAGGAGGAGACGGGGGATATGCTGGACAAGCTGCAGTTCTGCGAAACCAAACTGCTGTACTTGGTCGATACCATAGCCAAACGGCCCTCTTTTGACTTCAGCCAAGAGGAAAGCAATGAGGTAAAGGACTCCTAGAATTGCCTCGGTTGGACATCTATCGGAATATTTAAATATAATACTACTACCGCTAATAATACAATATTACAATTATATATTTTATATTACATGTAATATTACTAATAATATTATAATTGAATTGTACAATATAGTAATATATAATACTGATATTGTGCTATGCTAATAATATAATATATTGTATGTATATATATCATGTAAGCTGCTCTGAGTCTCATTTGGGTGAGAAGGGTGGCATATAAATGTCATAAATAAATAAATAAATAAATAAATAAATAATGTCCTAAATAAATAAATGAACAAATAAAAATAAGGGGGAAATAAAGAAAAAATATGAAGAAATATGGGAAAAAAAAATTTTTTTTTAAAAAAAAAGAATAAATAATATTTGAAAATGTTATTTAAACCTCTTCCAGACTTTTGTGGAGCTCAGGGATTTCCTGGAGAACAGCACCCGGGAGGAGCGCCGTAACCTGAGGATCAGTTATGAAGAAGACGAAGATGACTACAGAGGTATTGAAAGAGGCATATAAACAACAACAACAACTGTCCAGTGTGCCTGATATTTACACGTGAGGCCTTTTTCTTCCCCGCCACAGAGCACTTCATGGACCATAGCTCCGTTCCCAGCCGTGAAGAAATCAAGAAGCAGGGCCTGAAGCTCATTGAAGAGAAAACCAAAGTCCCGAAGAAGAAGCAGAGAGGTATCTCCAAGAAGTGATTGTCATCACTATCCCAATTTGTGTATAATTCTCTTTTTAAAAATAAATATATATACATTCAGTTGTTGTGTGTTGTTATCAACATTGTTTACAGCAGGCATGGGCCAACTTGGGCCCTCCAGGTGTTTTGGACTTCAACTCCCACCATTCTTAACAGCCTCAGTCCCCTTCCTTTTTCCCCTCAGCTGCTTAAGCGGCTGAGGGGGAAAAGAAAAGGGCCTGAAGCTGTTAGGAATGGTGGAAGTCCAAACACCTGGAGGGCCCAAGTTGGAAGTCTAATGACAAGGCAAATTAGGTTTCTCAGTTGTTAGACTGATATACCTGCTCATCACTTAAGCGGCTGAGGGGTAAAAGGAAGAGGCCTGAGGCTATTTGGAATGGTGGGAGTTGAAGTCCAAAACACTTGGGAGGGCCGAAGTTGTGTTGTCGAGCAATTTAGAATGGCTGTGGATTAGGCCCAAGCCATTGTGGGTTGCCTGGTGAGAAAAGAGAAGCCAATATTGCAAAATAAATCTCACCACATTGAAGCAGAAGCCACCGAGATGTTTATTTAATTCGAGCTAGAAAGGATGACGATTGCAGTAATTCTGCCAAACAAATCGACATATCTGCTAGGCAGGTTAATACAGAATATATAGATTTCAGATTCAAAAGTTTCCATGCCCACTCCCTGAGCCAGCTTCGTTGTGATTGGCTGTGACGTTGGCAAGCCAGCAGAATAGCCAATGGTGGCCTGAGCTCTGCTTTGGCCTCTCAGCCAATGGGGTGGAAGGGAGGCGGGCAACAAGAAAACAATGAAGAAATGTCCAGTTGACTGGTTTAAATGACTAATGTTTGCAAAATGGCTCAGTGAGTGCGTAAGCAATCAAGCTGGCCAGGGTTTATTGTTTAAGTTCCTTGGAATCATCATCTGTAGTCTGGCGTAAGTGGCCAGGTCCTTTGTTTTATCATCCGGAGATATGGGGCGCGTTGATGAACTTTGGAACTGGTTTCAGCAGGGCTGACATAATGGAAGAAGCTGTAGTGAAGTCCTAATTCCTCGCAGACAGAAAAACACCTTTGGTGTTGGTGGATCAAGATGCCCAGAGGTCTTATCTCCAGATGGACTAGCTTTGTGCCCTCCGAGATCTGGCTGATAAGAACTATTTGTTTTATTGTCCATGCAAATGGGTGTGGTGAAACCTTTTGTTAGGGGATTAGTAGCTCAGGAAGCATGAGGGGACTTCCTGAGCTAGGTGAGTTGCTGGATTTTGAAAACAGTGGCTTTCCCTTCATATTTCATAAATATAGACATACACACATATAATGGGAAAAGGGAACATACAAGGAAATCATAAAGGATAAACCATGCAAGGTCAAGGGAGCCCTATCAGCCCTCCCTCCCTCAGTCCACCAAAATTTCATATAGATCAGTGTAATATCATAAAAGTTTGTAAGGGTTTGGTATAGGGTCTATAAGAGTTCCAAAGTCCATTAAAACTTGATTAAAGATCTCTAAAAGTTCATAGAAAAGTCCACAAAGTGTGGATTACAGGGGCATTGCCATGTGGGGCCATGGAAAGAGCCTTAGGTTCCCACATGGAGGAGAGATAGGGGATTATGGGATCATTCCAACCTGGTGTCCTTGGTAAAACTATGAATTCCTTGGTTTTGAACTGACCCTAAATTGGGTCTTCTTAGGTCCACATCACGGAGCACATAAGGAAGGAGACAGTCCCAAAAAAAGATAAAAAAACAAGGTCTATTTTAGTTTCTTCATGAAGAAGACGGACAGCCTGGCAGCATACGCAGATGCTATCCTTCAAGTGATTGCCCCCCCCCCCCCCCGGGCTTTTGTACACCGTTATATACCCTCACATAAACAAGAACATTTTTTTGGTCATAGAAAGTACTCTCTTTCCAGCCCCCCTCCCTTGACCTTTTGATGGAAAGTACCTTCTTGTACCTGCAGACTCTGCGCTTAACCACAACCTTTGGCTTAACCACAACACAACTATGTGAGTTTGAACTTTGTATGACCTCCACATGTCACATCTTGTCTCTCAAAAACATTTTCTTCCGTGTTGCTCCTTTTCTACAGAGAAAGGGTATATTTCTCTTTTGCTGTTAATTTCATTCAAAGCCCCTTGCTTAGCATTTGCAAATTTCACTCAAAGACCCTTTCAGAACCATCTTTTACAGCAGTGTTTCTCAACCTGGGGGTCGGGACCCCTGTGGGGGTCGCGAGGGGGTGTCAGAGGTGTCACCAAAGACCATCAGAAAACATAGTATTTTCTCCTTGTCATGGGTGTTCTGTGTGGGAAGTTTGGCCCAATTATATCAATGGTGGGGTTCAGAATGCTATTTCATTGTGCGTGAACTATGAATCCCAACAACTACAACTCCCAAATGGTAAGGTCTATTTTCTCCAAACTCTACCCGTGTTCACATTTGGGCACATTGATTATCTGTGCCAAGTTTGATCCAGATCCATCACTGTTTGAGTCCACAGTGTTCTCTGAATGTAGGTGAACTACAACTCCAAAAACTCAAGGTCAGTGTCCACCAAACTCTCCCAGTATTTCTCTTGGCCATGGGAATTCTGTGTGCCAAGTTTGATTCAATTCCATCATTGGTGGAGTTCAGAATGCTCTTTGATTATAAGTGAACTATAAATCCCAGCAACTCCAACTCCCAAATTACAAAATCAATCCTCGCCCAACCCCACTAAGTATTCAAATTTGGGCGTATGGTATTTGTGCCAAATGAATGAAAATACATCCTGCATATCAGATATTTACATTGATTCATAACAGTAGCAAAATTACAGTTATGAAGTAGCAATGGAAATAATTTTATGGTTGGGGGTCACCACAACATGAGGAACTGTATTCTAAGGGGGGCATTAGGAAGGTTGAGAACCACTGTTTTACAGAGTCGGGGGGGGGGGGGGGTCACCTCCGATATCAACTTGAAGTCTAATGACAAGGCAAATTAGGGGGACAATGCCTGGCTCGAGAGCAGTACGTGTGAAAAAGATATTAGAGTCCTCATGGACAACAAGTTAAATATGAGCCAACAATGTGATGTGGCGGCAAAAAAAGCCAATGGGATTTTGGCCTGCATCAATAGGAGCATAGTGTCTCGATCTAGGGAAGTCATGCTACCCCTCTATTCTGCTTTGGTTAGACCACACCTGGAATATTGTGTCCAATTCTGGGCACCACAATTCAAGAGAGATGTTGACAAGCTGGAATGTGTCCAGAGGAGAGCGACTAAAATGATCAAGGGTCTGGAGAACAAGCCCTATGAGGAGCGGCTTAAAGAGCTGGGCATGTTTAGCCTGAAGAAGAGAAGGCTGGGAGGAGACATGATAGCCATGTATAAATATGTGAGGGGAAGTCACAGGGAGGAGGGAGCAGGCTTGTTTTCTGCTACCTGGAAACTAGGACACGGAACAATGCCTTCAAAATACAAAAGAGGAGGTTCCATCTGAACATTAGGAAGAACTTCCTGTGAGAGCCGTTCAGCAGTGGAACTCTCTGCCCCGGAGTGTGGTGGAGGCTCCTTCTTTGGAAGCTTTTAAACAGAGGCTGGATGGCCATCTGTCAGGGGTGATTTGAATGCAATATTCCTGCTTCTTGGCAGGGGGTTGGACTGGATGGCCCATGAGGTCTCTTCCAACTCTTTGATTCTATGATTCTCAGTTGTTAGACTGATATACCTGTTAGGAATGGTGGGGGGGGTTGAAGTCCAAAACACCTGGAGGGCCCAAGTTTGCCCATGCTTGGCCTAAATGCTCACTTTTCAGGGCTTGTTTGGTTTCTAAGGGAAAGAATAGGTTTGGAGGCCTGTTCTGAGTTTCACTCCTACACAGTAAACAACACTCTGGCAACGCGAAGTCCTTAAAGAGAGAAAGCTTAGCCCTTTTGGCCTCCTCGAGCCACCGTCGTCGCTTCCCGCTCTTTTGGTTGCTTAGCGACGAGGCGCGACTAAGATGGCGGTGGGTTTGCGGTAGGGAAGAAAAAAGGAAAATAGACGGCTTTTGTGGGAAAAACTTCTCTGTCTCCCCTTCCCCAGTGAACACAAGAGGATGGTTTATTTATAACTAGTTATTATTTATAATAGTTATTTAGAAAACTCTTTGTGTAATTTGTACCGAGGGGGTGACTGAAATAATTCGTCCCTCGGCGCTACCCGTATTTCCAATATGGCGCCGCGGGATGTCCCTCGCGGGCCGCCGTAGCTGCTTCGAAAGGCTGAGGGGGGCCAGGAAAGAGGCCGGGCCAAGATGGCGGCAGCGGAGGCTGTGAGGGAAGGAGGCAGGCGGCGAGGAGGAGGAAGAGTAGCAGAGGCTGCAGCCGCCCCGAGGCCTCTCCTCCGGCCGCGAGCCATGTAAGCAAGCCCCGGGGCCCTTCTTCCCTCGCAGCCAGGATGTTCTCGGCCCTGAAGAAGCTGGTGGGCTCCGACCAGGCCCCGCCTGGCAGGGACAGGCCCATCCCGGCGGGGCTCCAGTCCATGAACCAGGCCCTGCAGCGCCGCTTCGCCAAGGGCGTCCAGTACAACAGTGAGTCCGGCTGGGTCGGGGCGGGAGGGACCCGCTGCGGAACCGGCCACTCGGGCCCCGCTTCCCTGGGTTCTTCCGTGGGAGGTTCAAGGCGTGTTTACATTGCGGAATCTATGTTGTACATACACACACACACACACACACACACACAAATATAACTATAATAATAATAATTTATTTATTTGACCAGTCATAGGACCATTTCAAAATACAACACGAGTAAAAGGCAAGGCAAAAAGGAGAGGACAACAGCTGACCTTCTATTTACAGTCAGAGTCTTATTTTCCTGGTTCTTCTTTCCGGAAATCGGCTCTTTTCTTGATAGCTTTCAGAATAAAAAAAACTTTCAACCTCAGATATGCAGATGACACCACTCTGATGGCCGAAAGCGAGGAGGAGCTGAGGAGCCTTCTAATCAAGGTGAAAGAAGAAAGCGCAAAAGCTGGGTTGCAGCTAAACAAAAAAAAAACCCAAGATTATGGCAACAAGAATGATTGACAACTGGGAAATAGAGGGAGAAAACGTGGAGGCCGTGACAGACTTTGTATTTCTAGGTGCAAAGATTACTGCAGATGCAGACTGTGGCCAGGAAATCAGAAGATGCTTACTTCTTGGGAGGAGAGCAATGTCCAGTCTCGATAAAATAGTGAAGAGTAGAGACATCAGACTGGCAACAAAGATCCGCCTAGTCAAAGCCATGGTATTCCCTGTAGTCACCTACGGATGTGAGAGCTGGACCTTAGGGAAGGCTGAGCGAAGGAAGATCGATGCGTTTGAGCTGTGGTGCTGGAGGAAAGTTCTGAGAGTGCCTTGGACTGCGAGAAGATCCAACCAGTCCATCCTCCAGGAAATAAAGCCCGGCTGCTCATTGGAGGGAAGGATACTAGAGACAAAGTTGAAGTACTTTGGCCACATCATGAGGAGACAGCAAAGCCTAGAGAAGACAATTATGCTGGGGAAAGTAGAAGGCAAAAGGAAGAGGGGCCGACCAAGGACAAGATGGATGGATGGCATCCTTGAAGTGACTGGACTGACCTTGAAGGAGCTGGGGGTGGTGACGGCCGACAGGGAGCTCTGGCGTGGACTGGTCCATGAGGTCACGAAGAGTCGGAGACGACTGAACGAATGAACAGCAACTCTGATTATGGCGGATCTTTCCTGTCCTTGCAAGAGGAATGTTAGAAGATCATTTCTGTTGGGGGACCTGCAGTTGGATAATATTGGATGTAAATATCTGTATCACAGTTGTTAATAATAATAATAATAATAATAATCTTCATTTATACCCCACAACCATCTCCCCAAGATCAAGAGAAAGTGGTGAGACTATACAGAAGATCTGTATAGGAAGGATAATAATATCGAGGATAGTTTTGACGGTGTGGTGAGTGAATTAGAACCAGACATCCTGAGGAGTGAGGTTGAATGGGCCTTAAGAAGCATTGCTAACAACAAGGCAGCAGGAGACAACGGGATCCCAGCCGAACTGTTTAAAATCTTGAAAGATGATGCTGTCAAGGTGATGCATGTCATATGCCAGCAAATATGGAAAACACAAGAATGGCCATCAGACTGGAAAAAATCAACTTATAACCCCATACCAAAAAAGGGAAATGCTAAAGAGTGCTCAAACTTCCATACAGTGGCCCTTATTTCTCATGGCAGTAAGGTAATGCTCAAGATTCTGCAAGGAAGACTCCAGCAATACATGGAGAGAGAGGTGCCAGATGGACAAGCTGGGTTTAGAAAAGGCAGAGGAACAAGAGACCAAACTGCCAATATCCGCTGGATAATGGAGAAAGGCAGGGAGTTTCAGAAAAACATCTCCTTCTGCTTCATTGACTATTCTAAAGCCTTTGACTGTGTGGATCATAATAAATTGTGGCAAGTTCTTGGTGGTCTGGGCATACCAAATCACCTTATTTCTTTCCTGAGGAATCTGTACAAGGACCAAGTAGCAACAGTAAGAACTAACCACGGAACAACAGACTGGTTCAAGATTGGAAAAGGCGTACGGCAGGGTTGTATACTCTCACCCAACCTATTCAACTTGTATGCAGAACACATCATGCAATTTATGGGGCTTGACGAATGCAAGGCTAGGGTGAAAATTGCTGGAAGACACATTAACAGCCTTAGATATGCAGATGATACCACTTTGATGGCTGGAAGCGAGGAGGAGCCGAGGAGCCTTCTAATCAAGGTGAAAGAAAAAAGCGCAAAAGCTGGGTTGCAGTTAAACATAAAAAAACCCAAGATTATGGCAACAAGAATGATTGACAACTGGGAAATAGAGGGAGAAAATGTGGAGGCAGTGACAGCCTTTGTATTTCTAGGTGCAAAAATTACTACAGACACAGACTGCAGCCAGGAAATCAGGAGATGTTTCCTTCTTGGGAGGAGAGCAATGACCAATCTTGATAAAATAGTGAAGAGTAGAGACATCACACTGGCAATAAAGATCCGCATAGTTCAAGCAATGTTATTCCCCATAGTAACCTACGGATGTGAGAGCTGGCCCATAGGGAAGGCTGAGCGAAGGAAGATAGATGCTTTTGAACTGTGGTGTTGGAGGAAAGTGCTGAAAGTGCCTTGAACAGCAAGAAGATCCAACCAGTCCATACTTCAAGAAATAAAGCCTGACTGCTCATTGAAGGGAAGAATAATAGACACCAAGATGAAGTACTTTGGCCACATCATGAGAAGAAAGGAAAGCTTAGAGAAGACAATGATGCTGGGGAAAATGGAAGGAAAAAGGAAGAGGGGCCGACCAAGGGCAAGATGGATGGATGGTATCCTTGAAGTGACTGGATTGACCTTGAAGGAGCTGGGGGTGGTGACGACTGGCAGGGAGCTCTGGTGTGGACTGGTCCATGAAGTCACAAAGAGTCGGAAACGACTGAACGAATGAACAACAAACCATCTCCTGAAAGGGGACTCAGAGCGGCATACATGAGGCCAAGCCCGACGATACATTACAGCAAAAAATACAAATCAACAAAATAACATCACAATGAAATAAATAAGACATTCAGGTAAAATAAACACCGCAAAATAACATGACAAAGAATCTGACACAGTGGGTGGGCCAAATGCATAACATAAAATGATAAAACTCTGGATGAGTTAACAGTTAAAAAGGTATGAAGGAAGAACTCATAGGGGATGGAACAGTGGAGTTAGGCTTTCAACATGGTGGGGGGAAGTGCAAAATGAGGACAACATTGAAGGTGAAGCACCAGGAATGAAATATATGGTCACTCTGCAAAATCACAATGGAAAAGCCAAGTTTTTAGATCTTTCTTAAAGGCTGCTAGGGTGGGGGCTTGCCTAATCTCATCAGGCAATGAATTCCACAGCCAAGGGGGAGGGGGGCTGTATATTCTCGATCCCGCCTGCATCACAAGTGCAATTGGCAGAGACGACAGGGCATTCTCAGTGGTGGCCCCCCGGCTATGGAACTCCCTTCCCAGGGATATTAGGTTGGCCCCCTCCCTCCTAACTCTTTGAGCAAGGTTTTGAGAATGCAGCGGAATAGGTAACACGGAACTATGAATGATGAACATGGAACGGCCAGACGATGTTAGTAGATAACGTTTTTAACACCGATGATTATATGTTTTAACGGTTTTTATTTATGTTTTATATTGTAATGTTGATTGTTTTTAATGGCACTTTTATGAATGCCTGGAATGGAATTGTGCCAATCTGTAATCATCCTTGAGTCGTCATATGGCTGAGAAAGGTGGGATATAAATATCGTAAATAAATAAATAAATATGGTGGGATCCTTCTATCTTCAATAACTGAATCAGAAGATAGTCACAAGAGGGGATACAGTGCTGGAAAAATTCAGCTTAGCTTTAGGTTGTTTACAATGGTTACCATACATGATGGTGAAGAAGTGATAGCCTGTTTCCTCCTGTACATTTCAGGAGTTGACAACCTCTTCATTTGTTGTGTGATCACTCTGTTGCTCAGCCTCATTCACTTCATTTTTGAGTGTGCGTCAGACAATGTTATTGTCCACTTGTAGCTCTTTGTTTTTCCACACACACACAGAGAATATAATATATATATTTTAAAAATAATAATTATTTAAAAAATTTCCAGATAACATAAAAAGGTAATAGGGAGAGTAAGGGGGAAAGAAATGGTTAGAGGCTAGGTCTAGGGTAAAAGGAGTAGGGGATAGAGTTATGAGTGATTGGATTAAAATGGGTGTAGAAATATGAACAACTTCACACAACAACTCAGAGATCGACAAGATAAATCAGCTACAAATTGGACTCTATTCACAAATTTTATGGAACAAGGAATCTCCTGAGGAATCTGTATAACGGCCAAGTAGCAGCAGTAAAAACTGCTGCTTCCTGGTTCTTTCAGGAAATGTGCTATTTTCTTAATAGCTTTCAGAATAAAATGGGGAGAGCACGGATGAGCTCCTTCTGTCAGCACCAGCTCCCCATGTGAGGACATGAGAGAAGCCTCCCACAAGAATGGTACAACATCAAAAATATCTGGTCATCACCTGGGCAGCGTCCTTTCAGATGGTCAATTCTCTCACATCAGAAGTGACTTGTAGTTTCTTAAGTCACTCCTAACACACATAAAAAAGAGGATCTGGTAAACCCCCCTCTGAAGATTTTTTGCCCAAGAATTTCCTGTGAAATAATTATAATTGAGTTGCCATAAATGGACACACACTCATTATTATTATTTGTATTGGAAATTAGTTAGCAGAAATCATAATGATAATTTAACATAGTATTTTTCTTTATTATAAAACTAATTAATTACGGTGTCAGGGCCTTGCTGAGCTCAGAAGCCAGAGTGAGGCAATTGCAATAAACATCATGATGATAATGATGAGGGCTTGATGCGAGTTACAGGAGTCTGGCCTCTGCTGCCTCTTGCTTTGCTTTCAGTGGAGACCTTGCCCAATTCAACTTATCCACAAGGATGTGCTTTGTGCCACGTCATGGAACTATGGAGGACTGAGCTTAGTTACATTGGAGGAAAGCATCTGCTGTGTCAACATGGAGTGCTGAGGTGTTTCACTCCCTGTCCTTGGCATGTGATCTTCCTATTTAGAAGTGCTTTTGTACTCCTGACCTTCATCCTTTGCTTAAGAATGCTTGCAGATATAATGCGGTTGCTTCAGAAAGCTTTGCAGTTTTCTGCCCAACTAGGACTTGAAACTGAGGTTGCATTGATACTGTGGAATAAACACAGTTTGGCACCACTTTAAACTACCATGGCTCAGTGCTATAGAACCCTGGGAGCTGGTGCCTCACCAAACTACAACTCCCAGGATCCCCATAGCATTGAGTCATAGTACTTCAAGTGGTATTAAACTGCATTCATTCTCATTATAGATGTTCCTTTTGCTTTGGAGGAATTGAACTTCTCTGTTTAGAGAGAGCTTTGGGCACAGCTCTAATTTTGCAAAACATTTAATGCATGTTTAAATGCATTTTTGCATGTCTTTGTCTGCATGTGCCTTTGTTTCTGCTTCAACTTACCCTGACAGCTTAAACCCCAGTAAAGGAGGAAAAGGTATAAATGAAAGTACTAATTTTTAGCCTTGTTTCCTGCTTCGGCTCAGCCTGCTGGAAAGAAGAGTTTCCTGTATTTTCTCTTTGAGCGCAACATGCTCCTGCAACCCTTTCATGCCGGGCATCTCTATTGCAACCAGAGAAAATGCCCCTGGATGCCTCTCCTGTAGGAAACTCCATAGAGAAAAACCAATACAATACAATTTAAAACCTAAACAAAATACAAACATTAAAATAGAATCAAATATTAACAGTATCTATATAAATAAAAATGTAATTTGTTTGCGGGATTAATATAACTCAAAAACCACTGGATGAATTTCTGCCAAATTTGGTCTCAAGACACCTACTAACCCAAGGAGTGACCATCCCCCTGTCTCTTAGCTCTTATTGCATAGCCTCCACAAATGCATTTGTGGGTTATCTCAACTACGCTTGCTTTCCTCTTGGCTGATATTTTTAACAGCTTGAGCAAGAAGCTTCTCCATAGTAACTGTCAGTCTCTTGTGAAATCCAGATGACACAAGGGAGGCTTAGCTGCCTCTCTTTTGGAGGGATGGTGGGCCCATGGCCTGGCACCTGGCATTTCCCAGCATGGCTTTGCTTCGCTTGATTGATGGGCCTGGGGCTTAACTTGTTGGTGATTGTGATCAGCACATGCTGGAAGTCCTGCTTCATTCAGTAATGGTGGAGCGTTCATTTTGGAAAGTGGGGCCCTTTCCTCGATTGAATCGTGCCCTTCCCTCCGCATGGCCTTCCTTCCTAAACCAACTGGGAGGGAGGCTTGGTCAGGAATTGCATTCATCTGGGAGGTGCCCTAATAAAACAATGCCAGCATTAAAACCAGAGCAAATATCGACCAATTCATTAAAAGGATCCCTGCCTTATGCCTTTGCCTTGGTTGTGAGAGGCATGAGGCTCCAGTGGTCCCAGGCTGTGTTGCCAGGCCTGAATATTTCATGGCTCCTAGGTGGATCAATTACCAGTGGAGGGTGAAGGTGTTCAGACTTGGATTTTAGTGTTTTATATCTCTTGTTTTAATGATGATGTACTCCACTTTGAGCCACAGGGAAAGACCTGTAAAAACATTTATTTATTTATTTATTTATTTGAAACACAAGATAAGTGCACAGCAAACAAGATCACTATGCTGGTTGTTGTATTGGATCACATGTCAGACACTTTGCAAGTAGACTGTGTGATGTATCACTTATTATTATTATTATTTGAAACACAACAAGATGAATCCACAGCAGACACTCTGCTGGCTGTTGAATTGGATCACACATTGGACACTTCCCAAGTGTCTAGGACTGTGTGATGTATCAGCGAATAATGCGTGTAGATCCCAGTAAAGTGGCCTTCTGTAGCTGGCAGATGGTAATTTTGTCAGCGCTGATTGTGTTTAAGTGCAGGCCAAGGTCTTTAGGCACTGCACCCAGTGTGCCGATCGCCACTGGGACCACCTTTACTGGTTTCTGCCAGAGTCTTTGCAGTTCAATCTTTAAATCCTCATATCGTGTCAATTTTCCAGTTGTTTCTCTGCAATCCTGCTGTCACCTGGGATTGTGACATCAACAATCCATACTTTGTTTTTTAAAACGATTGTGAGGTCAGGAGTATTATGCTCCAAAACTCTGTCTGTCTGAATCTGGAAATCCCAGAGGAGTTTGGTGTGTTCATTCTCTGTAACTTTTTCTGGCTTGTGATCCCACCAGTTCTTTGTCACAGGCAGATGGTATTTGTGGCACAAGTTCCAATGAATCATCTGAGCAACGGTGTTGTGCCTCTACTTGTAGTCTGTCTGCGTGATCTTGCAGCAGCTCAAGATGTGATCTATTGTTTCGTCTGCTTCCTTGCAGAGTCTACATTTGCGATCTGTTGTCGACTTTTCAATTTTGGCTTTGATGGCATTGGTTTGAATGGCTTGTTCTTGGGCTGCCAGAATCAGGCCCTCCGTCTCCTTTTTCAGAGTTCCATTTGTGAGCCACAACCATGTTTTTGCTTTGTCAATTTGGCTCTCAATTTTTCCCAGGAACTGTCCAGGGAGAGCCTTCTTTTGTCAGTTTTCTCTTCTTCTCTGGATTGTGTTTTTATTATTATTATTAGAAACACAACAAGATTAGTACACAGCAAACAAGATCACTCTGCTGGCTGTTGTATTGGATCACACATCGGACACTTCCCAAGTGTCTAGGACTGTGTGATGTATCAGCAAATAATGCGTGCAGATCCTAGTAGGGTGGCCTTTTGCAGCTGAGAGATGTTAATTTTGTCAGCGCCGATTGTGTGTAAGTGCATGCCAGAGTCTTTAGGTACTGCACCAAGTGTGGCGATCACTGGGACCACCTTAACTGGCTTGTGTCTCCCACAGGATGGTAAAACGTCAAACATACGGACAATGTCCCCTGGGCAACGTCTTTCCAGATGACCAATTCTCTCACACCAGAAGCAACTTGCAGTTTCTCAAGTCGCTCCTGACATGAAAAGAAATGCAAACATACAGATTAAAAACTGAAATACTTATACAGACATGAGATTCCACACTTGCTGTCTTCTTGCCTGCTAAACAGCCTTTTCAGGGAGACAGAATTAGTCAATACCACAAATTGCATCTGATTCAGCTCCTTTCTCTTAAGAGTTCTGCTCTTGATGTTTTTGTATCTAAGTCTTTCCAATATGTGGTCTGTCTGTCCATCGGCGAGAGACTGGCATCTTGTGTCCAATCTCTTGGCATAAGACAGACTCTGCTGTCTTCCCCTGAACAGTTTGATGCTCACTGAGTACCTTTCCAAGGCAAACATGTAGTATAAATATGGAAATAATGTCTCTGTAAGGGCCTAGTCAGAGATTAGCTTAAGGAGGCTGTTAGCTACAGAGCCCTTTCTTTTTCCCGAACTACTGCCAGGAAACAGGAAAAGGCAGAAGGTGTGTGTTAATGGACAATGTTTTTAATAGGAGACCATAATGTTCATGTTTTTATTGATTTTGTTATGGTTTTATTATCCGATTGTTTTTATTGTATTGAAATTGTATTTCATGGTCTTGGCACCAACTGTAAACCGCCCCGAATTGCCTGTGGGCTGAGAGGGACAGTATATAAATATAGTTAATTAATTAATTAATTAATGTGTCTCAGCTCGGCTCCTCCTTTCCTCCCTCTTTCTTCCCTCTTTCTCTCTTTTTTCCAGTGAAAATAGTCATCCGGGGGGACAGGAACACGGGGAAGACCACTCTGTGGCACCGGCTACAGGGGAAGAAGTTTGTGGAGGAGTACATTCCCACTCAGGAGATCCAAGTCACCAGCATCCACTGGAATTACAAAAGTGAGTTGGATTAGGAAGAGGGAGGAGACGTTTCAAAGTGAGCCAGGGCTCTCGAATAATTGCCTTAACCTTGTGCCTCTTTCTCCTCCTTTTATAGCCACTGACGATATTGTGAAAGTCGAAGTCTGGGATGTGGTCGACAAAGGTAAGGCCTCCGCCTCCCATTTCTTTCTCTTCGTTTGGAAGAGATGTGTTTGGGAGTTGAGACCCTCCTCTTCTCCACTTCCTAGAATGAGCCTCAAAGTCAGCTTAGTGAAATAGTCTTCAAACTGTGGGAGTGCAGGACACTGTGGGCTCCCTAGCCCCAAGCCAATTCCTCCACGATGGCGGCCAACTCATACAATGGTCATACGATGCCATTCCAAACTTGTTTAAATTTTTTATTTTCTTTAAATTGTGATTAGATTTTAGGGGTTGTTGGCCACCTTGAGTTCTTTACTGGCAGAAAGGTGGAGTAATAATAATAATAATAATAATAATAATAATAATAATAATAATGGGTTGCTGGGAGTTTTCTGGGCTGTGTGGCCATGTTCCAGAAGCATTCTCTCCTGACGCTTTGTCCACATCTATGGTAGGCATCCTCAGAGGTTGAGGGGTCTGTTGGAAGCTACGCAAGTGAGGTTTCTATATCTGTAATGCCCAAGATGGGAGAAAGAACTCTTGCAGCTTCAAAGCCTGGCTGGTAGCTGCCTGGGGGCATTCTTTCTTAGGAGGTATTAGCTGGCCCTGATTAATTCTTGTCTAGAATTCCCCTGCTTTTTGAGTGTTACTCTTTATTTACTGTCCTGATTTTTGTTCATTTTCATGGTTTCTTCCTTTCTGTTGAAATTGTTCACATGCTTGTGGATTTTAATCAGGACAGTAAATAAAGATCAACGCTCAAAAAGCAGGGGAACTCCAGACATGAAACAATCAGGACCAGCTAACATCTCCCAACAAAGGATTCCCCCTAGGCAGCAACCAGCCAGGCTTTGAAGCTGCAAGGCCCTTCAGTGCTAATCAAGGTGGCCAATTGCAACATTCACCCTGCCTCAGGCAGGCAAGAGTTCTTTCTCCCACCCTGGACATTATTCCACAGGTGTATACACTCCACTTGCCTAGCTTCCAACAAACCTCACAACCTCTGGAACATGGCCAGACATGCCTGCCATAGATGTGGGTGAAATGTCAGGAGAGAATGCTTCTGGAACATGGCCAGACAGCCTGGAAAACTCACAGCAACCCAGTGATTCTGCCCATGGCTGCCTTCAACAACAATAATAATACTATGAATCTGCATTCCTTATATGAGTGTAGACTTGTATAATGGTCATGTAACACAACACAATAATAATACTATGAGTCTGCATTCCTTATATGAGTGTAGATTTGTATAATGGTCATATAACGCAACGCAATAATAATACTATGAATCTGCATTCCTTATATGAGTGTAGACTTGTATAATGGTCATGTAACACAACACAATAATAATACTATGAGTCTGCATTCCTTATATGAGTGTAGATTTGTATAATGGTCATATAACGCAATGCAATAATAATACTATGAATCTGCATTCCTTATATGAGTGAAGACTTGTATAATGGTCATGTAACACAACACAATAATAATACTATGAGTCTGCATTCCTTATATGAGTATAGACTTGTATAATGGTCATATAACACAACACAATAATAATAGTATGAGTCTGCATTCCTTATATGAGTGTAGACTTTTATAATGGTCATATAGTGCAGTACCAAACTTCTTTAATTGTTGCATTTGCTTTAAATTAGGTTGTGAGGGGTTGTTAGCTGCCTTGAGTTCCCTACAATACATTAAGTCAATAATAATAATAATAATAATAATAATAATAATAATATACCTGTAATTATAATATGAGTCTGCACTCTTTATATGAGTATCAACTCATATAATGGTCACATGCTGCAGTTTTCTCACTGCATTATATGGAAGTGTGGATCCAGCCTTAGAGAAGGACATCTCTGTAATCAAAGGACTCGCCTTTTCCATCTCTGTGGGTTGAATGCTCTTCCATCTCGCTGGTTGTTTTTATTTTCCTCATTTGTCTTGTGATTGTTTCTTTTCTCTCCTTCACAATCCAACCTGCTCAGGCCAAAAAATCAACCTGCGCGACTCCTTGGGTGAGAGAGAGGAGGAGGCCTCGGTCCTCCCTTAGCCAAACTTCCTGAGCTTTTGTAGACAGCACCCTTTCCCTCCCTTGTGTGTGTTGGTGTCTATTTGCGTGTGCTGGCATTGCCGTGCTCCCCTTAGGCTTAGCCTGGGGCCCTGTACCGGGAAGCATGGTTTGTGAAATGATGCTTGGCATTTCCTGTATCTAGATTCACCCCCTCGAGCCCTGCTTCGGGTTCACCGTCACTTCCTGCTTTGACTGCAGCAAAGGGCAGGGGCTGGCAAACCATGGCTTGCCATCTTCACCTGGGTTTGATCCCTTCCTGTGCCTTACGTTTAAAGTGCCATAAAATGAGGGGAAGGATGCCATGACAAGCTATGGCTTAAACCAATCCAGAGTCCACAGGCCATGCCGGTTAGCTGGTTAACCGCAGTTCATAATCACAGGAAGCTAGTTCTCCACAGACCACAAGTCAAGAGGGTGAGGGTGGGGGTCTGCTGTGGTTTTTCTGCATTTGTGTTTGAGGAAGTTTTTAATATTTTGATGTTTTTATCTATGTAATTGATTGCATGTTTTTGACTTTCCTATACCCTGCTTCAAGCCACCAGGAGAGACAAATGACAAATAAAATGTTATTACAATATTATAAATATTATGTTATGTTAAATATGTTATTATTTTAGTTAAATGGATAGGTTTTTAAATGGGTTCTAACTGGTTTTAACTATTTTTAACCCTGTTCATGTCTAATTCTGTTTTAATCTTTGTCCATTTTTGGGTTTTAAATGGTATTGTCTTGGTTTTATTATTATGAGTCACTTCATGTCTCTTTTTTAGAGAGATAAAGCAGAACATACATATATATATGGGTTGGCATATATTCGAGTATATATGAGTATATATATAATATAATATATATATATATCCATATATACTCAAGTATAAGCCAACCCGAATACATGCTGAGGCACCTAATATTACCACAAAAAAACAGAAAACATATTGACTCGAGTAAAAGCTGAGGGTGGGAAATGACACAGCTACTAGTAAATTTAAGAATAAAAATAGATACAAATAAAATTACATTAATTGAGGCATCCGTAGGTTCAATATTTTTAAATATTTACACAAAACTGTAATTTCAGATAAAACTGCCCAATTCTAACCTTCCTCAATGTAAATGTGCTGACTTATCCTTCCAATAATAGAGAATAAAATAATACATGTAATAAAGTTAATAATAATGGAAATATAATAATAGCAGTAATAATAATATAGTAAAATAATAAATATAATAATAATTAATAAAGTAAGATAATAAATATAATAATAAATAGTGTAAAATAATACATGTAATACAAATAACAATAGAATAAAATAATGGAAATGTAATAATAATAAGTAATATAATAAATGCAATAATACTAATAGTAAATAGAGTAATAAATGTAATAAAATAATAATAGAGTAAAATAATGTACATGTAATAGTAATAATGAATAGATTAAAATAATAAATGTAATAATAATAAATTGAGTAAAATAATAAATGTAAGAATAGAGTAAAATAATGTACATGTGATAATAGTAATAATAAATAGAATAAAATAAATGTAATAATAATAATAACAGAGTAAAATAATAAATAACTTTGACTTAAGTATAAGTTGAGGAGGGCTTTTTCAGCCTAAAAAGGGGCTTATACTCGAGTATATACGACAATAATAAAGCAGGATGATAATAAAAATAATAAACATTTTTGCCATTATGTTCAAACACAGTCAGTTAATGTGTGCCTGGGAATGCCTAGATGCTCTCATTTTCATATGGACATGTGTGCTCTGCAGCCTAACTGCTTTTTTTTTTTTTTTGTCGTGTCAGGAGCGACTTGAGAAACTGCAAGTCGCTTCTGTTGTGAGAGAATTGGCTGTCTGCAAGGACGTTGCCCAGGGGACATTGCCCGGATGTTTTTGATGTTTTATCCTCCTTGTGGGAGGCTTCTCTCGTGTCCCTGCATGAGGAGAAGGAGCTGATAGAGGGAGCTCATCCGTAATCTCCCAGGATTCAAACCTGCGACCTGTCGGCACAGGGGTTTAACCCACTGCACCACCCGGGGCTCCTGCTTTCTTATAATAATAATAATAACAACACTATGTAAAAAAATAAGTGGCTCAGAATCATAAAATCGATACAGTTTATAATCTAAAAAAATACAAACATTAGAATAGAACATGAACAGGTTTAAAGATAAGCAATTCCAACCCTCTCTGTGCAACTAAAACCACAGCAGCCCTGGAGCACTTGTCTCCTGCCCACCGCATGCGGGGCCTTCTTCCTGTTTGAGCTTGAAAAGAGAGCGCAAGGAGTGTGATGAGACCGTGGAAGGAGGGCTGCATGTCTGGGGTCTGCATTTCTGGGGAGCCACAGGTGAGGGCCAGCAGCACTGCTTATGCCGGTTTCCTTTGTCTCTCCACAGGGAAGTGCAAGAAGCGTGGCGATGGCTTGAAACTGGAGAATGATCCTCAGGAGGTGAGGCTTCTTGGCCCGCTTTCTATTTTTCCTCTGTCCTTCCCCCTTGCACATTTCATCGCTGCCCTTGGGACTCCGTGGCAATAATGACGTCCACACAAGGCCACCGGCTGGACATCTCTTTCCTGCCCTGTTCCTCTGACTGCAGAGAAAGGCTGTATGAAAGGACTGGCAACGCCTGCAGAGAAATGTTCCTATTTCCCATAGATTGTGTGGCATTTCTCTTAGGAAGCCAAGCGGCCTTAGAGAGAGAAAGAGAGAACATGTGATCCACGCTGCCTTGGCCAACCTCTTTGTTTACTCTGTGCCCTCAGAGAAGGGGTTTAAAAGCCTCACTTCCTCTCTGGTTACCGAACAAAGGCTGGCAGATGTGGATGAATCATAGAATCCCAAATTTGGAAGAGACTCCCAAGGGCCATCCACTCCAACCCTGTTCTGTCAAAAGAATACTATCCAAGCGTTCCTGACAGATCATAGAATCATAGAATCATAGAATCAAAGAGTTGGAAGAGACCTCATGGGCCATCCAGTCCA